TGCACTAGCATTACAATATTACACAATCTAACTTATTACACAATCTAAATAGTCATATTTCTACCATTACAGTGAGTTTTATACTGCCATCTTATTTTTTATGATGGTAATTAGCATCCTGTTACTTCCACTCAACAGACTCCCTTTAGCATTTCTTGTAAAGCATATCTAATGGTGATGAATTCCCTCAGTTTTTGTTTGGAAAAGCTTCTGAAGAACAGCTTCACCAGGAGTAGCATTTTTGGTTCACAGTTTCTTTCTTTCAGTATTTTGAATATGTCAACCCATTCTCTTCTGGCCTGAAAAGTTTCTGTTGAAAAATCTGCCATCTTTTGGGAGCTCCCCTGTATTATCATTTTTCTCTTGTTGGTTTTAAAGTTATTTTTCTTTGACTCTTGATGATTTAATCATAATACATGTCAGTGTAGTACTTTTCAGTTCAACCTTTTTAGGATCCCTTTGATCTCTTGTATCTTGAGGTCGCCTTCTCTTCCCATGTTTGGGAAGTCTTCAACCATTAGTGCTTTAAATATATTTTCTGTTCTTTTCCTCTTCCCTTTCTGGAATTCCTGTAATATGAATACTGTTTCTTTTCATTGTGTCCCATAAATCCTATAGGCTGGCTTCACTTTCATTCTTTTTTCAAGTCGTTTCTCTGATAGGATAATTTCAAATGGCCTCTTCTTCTGGGTCACTGATTCTTCTTTTGAAAATCTCTACTGATTTCAATTCAGTTACTTTTCAGCTGTAGGATTTCTGTTTTTTTTTTTAAATGTTTTTTTTTATCCTTTGATTTTAGATGTTTATTTTATTTATTTATTTATTTTTTGTGTTCAGGTCTTTTTTTTTTCCATTTATTTTTATTAGTTGGAGGCTAATTACTTTACATCATTACAGTAGTTTTTGTCATACATTGAAATGAATTAGCCATGGATTTACATGTATTCCCCATCCCGGTCCCCCCTCCCACCTCCCTCTCCACCCGATTTCTTTGTTGAACTTCTCATTTTGTTCATTCATTGCTTTCCCAATTTTGTTTAATTGTTGTGTATTCTTGTAATTTACAAAACTTCTTTAAGAGCATTATTCTGAATTCTTTGTTCACAGATCTCCATTTCTTTAGGGCTATTAGTGCCTTTTAAGTTTCCTTTAGCATTGTCATATTTACCTGATTTTTCAGGATCCTTGATTCCTTACATTGGTATATGTGCATCTGAGTAAGTGACCTCTTCTTCTAGACTTTGCAGATTCACTTTGGATTTATTAATCAGCTCAGTTTGGGTTTCTGGTATCTTCTGGTAACATCCTTGGGCAAATGAGACCTGCTATTAGAGTCTATTATGGGGCTAGGCAACTGTTAAAGCTCTGACGCTGTCTATGGCTGGCGGGGCTGGGGGGGGGGGTGCTGCCACTGGCTGGTAACAGCTAGATAGAATTGCTGGCTTGGTTGCATGCCCAACTGAGGCTGTACTATTGATTCTGTTGTTGTCTGGATTCTCTGGTCAGGATTAGGGACTAAATTCAGTAGTAAACGGGCTATGGATTCACTCCCCTACCCTGGTAGGGCAGCAGAATGGGACCCAGTGCCTACACAACTCACTGTTTGGGGAATGTTGTAAGCAAGGCTGCTGGATGGCCTACACAGGTTTTTGTGCTCTGGTAAGGCTCCCTCATCAGGTGGACTATAGGCTATGTTCAGCAATGAACGGGGCTATGAATTAGTTTCCCTGACTAAGCTAATTGAGGCATAGCGGTAAAACTAGCTCCAAGGCCACTAAGGCTGTCCGTCATCATCAATCAAGTTGGCCCAGGCCCTAAGTCCTACAGCCAAACTGGGCCACTTGCTTTGCTCTAAAGGTAATCAGCTTTGCCTGCCTATTTCAGCTCCACTGTTGCTGGGTAATGCAGCTCCCAGGTATTCTCACCAGCCCTTCCTGACAGATGGAGCTAATAACTCAGGTCCTCCCTGGGCTGGGCTGGGAGGGCCCATTTTAGGTAACTTCCAGATTTCCCCAAACAGACTTTCTCTTTGGAAGGGGCTGGGATCTAGAATCCACAGTGGGTGGAGCTATGACTCAGTTCTTCTCCCTGGATGTGAATAGACCAGACTCCGGGGCTCTCCTAGCTCTCCTCTGAGGACTGAAATCAGGCAGTCCTGCACCCTACTGAGTTCCCTGGTCAGGTGCACCACCAACTTGGTTCTGCAGATGAGCAAAGCCACTGGTTGGGACTAGTACTTGGCTCTGCAGGTATGAATTTGGTCAGCCAAGATCTGAGTGCTGACTGTTGGAAGTCCCTCCGTGCCCCCTTCTCCCTCATAGATTCCTAGTGGTTGAGCCCTACTAAGTCCCCAGTGATACTATGGGATGAAATCCACAATAAGGGCTCCTATAAAGGGACCCACAATGCAGGGAAGTAGCTGGATGTAATGCCAAGCTCTCTTTTCCCACTGGGGTGATCTCTCAGTTTGATGTTGTGCCAGCTTCGGGGAGAGGCAATGTGGTCAACATAGCTGTTCCTCTTACCCTTTGAATGTAGGGTATCTTGGTCTCTGGTGCAGGAGGGTAGTTCAGCCTCACTTCCATGTTTTAGGATTTTCTCCTTTGGTGTCTCATTCATGAGTGATTGTTAGTAGTTGTTCTTGTGAGGTGGAGTAAAGTTAGGAACAACCAATGTTGGCATCTTGGTGACATCATTTCCTGCACATCTTGAAGAGAGGGAAATCCTGAAATGTACCCATTAAAAGCATATGTCCGTGCTCAATAGCTCAGTTGTTAACCCCATGGAACCTGCCTGCCAGGCTCCTCTGTCTGTAGAATTTTCCAGGCAAAATACTGGAGTGGGTTGCCATTTCCTCCTCCAGGGGATCTTCCCAACCCAGGACTAAACCCACACCTCATGTTATCTCCTGCATTGGCAAGCAGATTCTTTACCACTGCGCCACTTGGGAAGCCCAAAAGCAGGCTTACAGTTACCTAATGTATTTGGCTCCCAACTTGGTATTATATTGTAGATCCATCTTGGGAACATTTCTTTGATTCTTCCTTCCCCACTAAGAACCCAGTACTCAAAATCAGGAGAGCTGGCCTTAGGCCTGTTAGTAGGTAACTGGATTTCCCATCTATAAAATGAAGCATTGAGAAATACCTCTCCCCCAGTAAATTTTAAGAAATAATATTCATACCTTTTGACCAAGTAATTTTCCTTTCAGACATCCATCAAATGAACTGACACAAAAGGGGAGAAATGTAAACAAGAGGCTGTATATGTAATGACAGCTCACGGAATCTTTTTTTCACGACTGCAAAGCAGTCTAAATGTTCTGTTGTTCAGTTGCTCAGTCGTGTCCAACTCTGCGACCCCATGGACAGCAACACGCCAGGCTTCCCTGTCCTTCACCATCTCCGGGAGCTTGCTCAAACTCATGTCCATTGAGTTGGTAATGCCATCCAACCATCTCATCCTCTATCATCCCCTTCTCCTCCTGCCTTCAATTTTTCCCAGCATCAGGGTCTTTTCCAATGAGCCAGCTCTTTGCATCAGGTAGCCAGAGTATTGGAGCTTCAGCTTCAGTCCTTCCAATGAATATTCAGGATTGATTTCCTTTAGGATGGACTGGTTTGAGCTCCTTGCTGACCAAGGGACTCTCAAGAGTCTTCTCTAACACCACAGTTCAAACGCATCAATTCTTCGGCACTCAGCTTTCTTTATGGCCCAGCTCTCACACCCATACATGACTACTGGAAAAAGCATAGCTTTGGCTTGATGGACATTTGTTGGCAAAGTAATGTCTCTGCTTTTTAATATGCTGTCTAGGTTTGTCATAGCTTTTCTTCCAAGAAGCGAGTGTCTTTTATAACACCACAGTTCAAACACATCAATTCTTCGGCACTCAGCTTTCTTTATGGCCCAGCTCTCACACCCACACATGACTACTGGAAAAAGCATAGCTTTGGCTTGCTGGACATTTGTTGGCAAAGTAATGTCTCTGCTTTTTAATATGCTGTCTAGGTTTGTCATAGCTTTTCTTCCAAGAAGCGAGTGTCTTTTAATTTCATGGCTGTAGTCATCATCTGCAGTGATTTTGGAGCCCAAACAGTAAAGTCAGCCACTGTTTCCACATCTATTTGCCATGAAGTGATGAGACCGGATGCCATGATCTTCGTTTTCTGAATGTTGAGTTTTAAGCCAGTTTTTTCACTCTCCTCTATCACCTTCATCAAGAGGCTCTTTAGTTTCTCTTTACTTTCTGCCATAAGGGTGGTATCATCTGCATATCTGAGGTTATTGATATTTCTCCTGGCAATCTTGATTGTAACTATTATTATTGGGCAACTATTAACAGTTCATATTAACTATTAATAGTTAACTACTAATATTAACTTATTAATCATATTAGGCAACTATTATTGTATTAACTAAACAGAATATTTGGCAACCATTATAAATACCAGTAGGAGTTTATGTCAACATAGAAAATGTCTAAAGGAGCAAGATGTAAATTTGTTCATACAAATATGATTACAATTACATGAAATGAGAAACCACAAAATTGTGCCTAAAATGAAGACAAAAAATACACAACATAATAAAAGATGCTATTGAATAGTAGACTCTAATTTTACTACAATACTGTACTGGATGACAGTATTGACTTCCAAAAGACAACACTCAAAATTATAATAGTGATTTCTTGTCATTTTGTCCTTGCAAACGTGACCAAAATTGGAGGCTTTTCAGACTATAATTGCACATGTAAATGTTGTAAATATTGCCAACCATTTGAGGCATTTTGGTTATTCTGGGTTTAACATGCTGACCTTAAGAATTTATAGTATAGGATCTATTCCTAAAATGACTTTGTTAAAAATCAGGATTCTACAGGACAATTTCTGGATTCCCTCTCATTCAGTAATTAGTTTGGGTTTGTTTCCATTACAGATCTTTGTGGAAAAAGAAAACCTGAAATTTAAAATTAAGAAAACCCTGTCTCTTTACAGGTGTTCCATTGCCCAAAGAAGATATTTCTGCCCCCTTGATCTCCAGCTCACCAGTGAAGGAACCTCACGAGTATGAACAGCCATCAAGTGAAGAGGAAGATAAAATAAAAGAAGAACCCTTGACAATCTCTGAACTGGCGTACAACCCAAGTGCCAGCCTGCTCCCTACCCCGGTTGATGATGATGAGATTGACATGCTCTTTGACTGTCCATCTAGGATGGAGTTGGAAAGAGAAGACACAGATTCATTTGAGGAACTGGAAGCAGATGAAAATGCCTTTTTAATGGCAGAAGAAGAGGAGATGAAGGAGGCTCACCAAGCTTTGTCATGGAGCTATGACATTCTGAGTGGCACTATTCGGGTGAACCCACTGGTCAAGAGTTTTTCCCGGCTCCTTGTGGTGGGCCTGGGCCTGCTGCTCTTTGTATTTCCCCTGCTCCTCCTCCTTTTGGAGTCAGGTATTGATCTCTCCTTCTTATGTGAAATCCGCCAGACGCCTGAGTTTGAGCAGTTTCACTATGAATACTACTGTCCTCTCAAGGAGTGGGTGGCTGGCAAAGTCAACCTCGTACTTTACATGTTGGGTTGCTCATAAAGCTCATTTCTCATATGACTAAGGGCTATATTCAATACTAGTGATTTGGTTTTGTTTTTTTTTCCAGCAAATGCCTGGTTCTGAATGGTCATGGGACCATCAATAGGTGTTCCTACTCATAACTGATTATTCAGAGCTTTAAGTTAGCTTTCCATAATTCACTGCAAGTAAGTTTAAATCAAACACAATTATTTTAGTTATAGGTCAGGAAGATGACCTCTAAATAACCAAAAATATGTTTATTTTTTATTATAGTACAGACATACTCTTTATCTATTATAATACATTGAGCTGAATTAGATTCTTTTTTTTTTTTTAATAGCACCATTACAAGCTATAAGGTTCAGAATCAGAGTTTTAGTAAAAACCCAAGAGAAAGTTTTTTGAATATAATCCTTAGTGAGAACAATGTCTTCTAACCAATGCCTATACAACTAAATTTATGCTGGGCTTTTGTTTTTGTTTTTTTAAAATATTTTTATGTGTTCAAAATATTTTGGTAAATTTTTAGCAAAAAAAAAAAAAAAAAGGAGCTTCCTGGAGTTATTTAAGTGTACAGATTGTAAGACTAATGCACAAAGGGTATGTCAGGAATTTTTAATGTCTTGGCACTGGTTTGTTTTTTAAAATATTTTTGACTGAACAATCACATAATTGTTATTATCTGCATATGAGATAGAAAAATAGGTAGAAAAACACTGTAGAAAATGAGCTCCTGAAATGGATGATGGAACTGGAGGAAGTAGAAATTGAGAGCATCAAGAGGACACAGGGTGGTCCATTTTTCAAAATATTTGGACAAGAAGACTTGTTACTTTCATTTGCATTCTGTCCATTTATGTTGGCTGAGGCAATGGAATGTTTTTAAAAGAAAGTGAAACTTTTAAAGGAAAATAGTTAGAGGAGATGTTAGTTAATTGTGTATTACTGTACATTAACCCAAGAGTGGAAGCAGATGGGAATTGGACAAATGGCAAGTAGCAAAACGAGTTCTGATGAGACTGATAGGCAAGTGGTGGTAGACAAATGATCTACTTTATGAAAGTGATGGTGATGCAAGGTACTGGATGATGTAAAGAACAGCATACTCGTTGTTCAAGTGGACATGAATATGTCTAAAAGTGGATCTAAATAAAAGTGGAGAAACTTGAAGGCACATTTTTGATCCCTCATGCCATTCATTGAGATTCTGTGGAAGAAGCTTTAAAAGAATTCTATGTGTATGTGAAAGAGAGAGAAAAAGAGTCAGAAAGAATGTAAGGAGAATGATCTTGGCTTTTTGATAAATGCCTATGATCTTCCTCTGTGGTGGTCATTATACTCTTTCCCTTTCCTGGTTTCCTTAGGATCTTAACTCATTCATAATTGGGGCTCTCATTAAGAAACTGGAGGGGATTCATTAGATAATATACCATTTCAGCTTGGATGAAGTAGTGAAATGACCCCCTAACTAGATAGTAAGTGGGACAAATGCTCTTGTACCTTCCTTCACACCACTGAATCCATGACAGAAAGAAAGGCTCTGAAGCCTTCCATGCAGAGTACATACCAATACTGTGTAAGAGAGTACAGTACAGAGCTTAGGGCACAGAGCATAGTGATTTTTCCATAAAATGTAAATGAAGACATGAAATGTGTTCATGGGGTGGGCTAGCTATAATCTCTCCTAACTTCAGCTCTATGATTAGTATAATTTCCAAAATGGCCATTCCAGTCCTACTCACTCATGGAGCCCTGAATGCTTTATTAGACATTTAATTTTGTAAATAAATTTTTAAAAGTCAGCTCATGAAGACTTCAGTTGAGTAAACTATACTATAATTTGCTATTCAGTTTACGGGGTGGTCTTTCTCATGTGCATTGAGTGACTGATTTTTCTTTCAAATAAAGAATATTTGCTACCTGAAATTTGATACCAATATAGAAATATATTTTCTGTAGGTTATTTGGAAAGTTTGCAAATGATCACCTTTGAAATTGAAGTGGTTTCCCCCCTTGTTTATGACTTAAAAGTCATATCTTCTGACATGAGGATGTGCCAGTATAGTCTGCAGAAAATTAGTTCCCTCTTCTAATCATGTGTAATCTCATTTTCTTTGAAGTTATAACCACAACAAATCATCCAGCCCTTGCCCTTTTACATTACTATTAAATAGCATTTTAAAATTATAGAATATATTATGTGTCATAAACACTGAAAAATGCTGACAGGATAAATATCACACATAGTCTAGCCAAGTGGATTTATACTAAGGAGTAATGACTATATAATTTTAACATTTCCAGCTAACATCTCTTAGGCGAAAACTTCACTGTTGAATAGAAATATTTTTAAGTGAAGGACCTGACAGGATAAGGTCTGCTGAATTTAAACAACAGCTACCAAAAGTAAAACGGATCCTGAAATGCCATTTTGTCAGGACAGATCAGTCTTTTAGAAATACTCGCTTTTCTTAGAAAACAGTCACCAGTTGCCTGAATCAAAGAGGAGAAGACTGCTTCCACAGATAAAGGATATATAATATAGTAAGTTACAGAATTGAAAGCAAGTGTGTGAGTATATGTATATTCCATATTATTGGTATATACATATTTATATATGAATATATGTATATATGTGTGTTTGTATACACACAACTGATATGCCCTTCATACACAGATGTTTTTATTTATCCCCAATTGAGGAATTTGTGACATGGTATTATTCATTTTCCCTCTCTGATAACATAGTGGATAAAACCCACAGTCTCAAAGGTTTCAATTTTCCATGAAAACTACTGTGTGTACATTTGTGGTTTTATATACACACATATGGCAAATACATATACACACACAATCTTTAGTGTTAATGCAAGTTGGATATGAAAAAAATGTAGGTGAAGTATTGTGTATTTCTGTCTGTGCTTGGAACATACTGTAAAATGTTATGTATCTGGAACATATTTTGTGGTTTGTCTAATATAAAGACAACTCTGGGAAGAAGTCAAAATGATTGATTTCACTGAAAAACTAGAGATTTGGGGGCCACGTTACCTATGGTTGGAGCCTTATCTTTGTACAGTGAAATTTGCATTTCTGTGTCAACATCCAGATTGTTTTATATGTTAATATGGTGGCAGGAATCCCTAATAAAAATACTCTGGGGAAAAAATGTTTCTGCAATCATTCAGTCTTATTCAAAGTAAAGTTGTATAAATAGCCTGTTGGAAACTACAGAAAGGTACCATCTGGTGCCATGAAATGAGGTCACCCTTGAATGGTGATACTATGAAAAGAATGGCTAATGGATGGGATTAACACTTTGCAGAAGTCACCCATGCTAAAAGTCAAAATATTGAAGGCACTGGAAATGCATCCAAATATAGAAGACAGCTATAGTCAGTGGGATCAAAGTAGAAATAGAAAAGCATGGAAAAAAACAGAAAAGGGGTTTTCTATGTGACAGGTAGGAGGGAGGACTTCAGAGGGGTAGCAGCATGTCCTTACTTCCTGTGCCAAAGAGAGCTACGTCAGACTCGACTCTGCAAGATGTGCCATTAAACATGTAGCGGTTCACAGGCCCTGGGAGAATTTTCCTATTCTACCCCTGTCTTCCCTGCATGCATGGCCTAGAAGGCCCTCTTGATTTGGCTTGGCACAAAGCTAATGATTTCACACCTGACAGTTAGATCAGAAGGTGTCAGTTACTCTGAATGGAGTCAAAGGGACTCTCTTTACTCCAGGAACACCATAGGAGTCCAGCTGAATTACACCCTAGCTATGTGGCCTAGTGGTTGTTTTTTTTTTTTTCAGTTTTATCAAGATATAATTGACACATACCAGTATATAATTTTAGGTAGGTAATGATTTGATATGTGTATATATTGCAAACTGATTACCACCATAAGTTTAGTCACTGTCCATCACCTCACAGAGTTAATTTGTTTTCCCTTGTGATAGGAACGTTTAAGATTGTGGACTCTCTTAGTAACTTGCAGATATACAATACAGAACCATAACTAGAATCACCAAGCTGTACATTATATCCCCAGGACTTATTTATAACTAGAAATTTGTACCTTTTGACCCCCTTCATCCATTTCACCCATCCAGGGGCTAGGGGTAGGTGAAGTCTGCCCAGTTCTTTCCTCAGCAGTCCTCAGGGGTCCGAGCACCAGAGCACAGGAAAGAAAAGGAATTTGGTGGTCAGTGTTCAGGTGTGAGATGTCAGGAGTCAGTCCCGAATCCACCAGCTCTAGCCAACACCTGTGTTTGCACTGTGGCTGCCGACTGGGAGGCTCATACAAAATAGCCTCTGGCCAGTTGTTCACTGAGCAGTCCAGGCTCCTAAGCCAGCCTTACCTCTTGGGAGAAACCTTTTTCCTTATTCGTACATTCCTTGCTCAGCCAATCAAGGCAAAGATCTCCTAACTACAGTACAGCATGAAAGGAAAGTACTGGGGAGAAGCTCCCACCGGGGTGACCTCAGTTGGGATGGTTGTGGTTGATGAACTTGAAACTCTTGGGACCACCTTTCTCTACTGGGTGGAGATAATGTGCTAAAGGACCCTGCTTACTTGTCCTCCTGCTTCTTCTCTCTCTCTCTCTCTTTCTCTTGGACCTGCTTTGGGGCTTCCAGTCTACCTGCAGTAAACAAACCCAGCGGGACCTGCCTGTGGTGAGCCCACCCAGGACTCAGCTCTCCACGTTCCAGCCTCGGTCTGCAGCAGGGTGGGTAAGTTTGGTGAGACCCACCCAATGGGCTCAGCTGTCATCACTTCAGAGAAGATGAAAAAAGCCTCACTTGGGCCTCAGATCCCAGCTGTGTTCTTCAATTCATCAATAAAGCTGATTTTAATCCTCTTCTGGCCATTGTGTATATTGTCTATGGAGAAGTGGGGTGGGTGCTGGGGAGCGGTTCAGGCTCTCTGTCACCTCCAGTGTTGCAAGCAAGGCAGGAGCAGAGGAGGCTGCTCCTGGCTGAACCTCACACATCAGAGGATGTCTGCCACTGATATGGGCCCTGACAGCCCTTAGAGCTGGGTGAGGAAACTTGGGACATAAGACAGTATGTCCCCGACAGGCTCCATTCCAAGAGCCCATCTGTAAGTCCAATTTGTTCATAAGTTCACAAAGTTAGCCTAGGTACCCAACTAATACAATCAGCTATATAGTACTGTATTGTAAGAGGTTTATAATACTTTTCACACAAATAATACATTAAAAAAAAAATTAAGCAGGTATTTTTAACAGTCCAGTACCTTGAAGAGTACGGGAGTACAACATAACAGCGGGCACACAGCGGCGGGCATCAAGTGAACAGGCAAGAAGGGTTACTGGCAGGAGGAGGGGAGGAGGTAAGAGATGGCAGAGCTGAAGGACCGTTAGCAATAGGAGGGCAAGCTGCAATTTCACTCATGCCTGACATTGATGGAACAGATTCTGGTTCCTTGCTGGATTCAATTCTGCCTGTCCTCTTGAAAAAACAATCCAGTGATATCTGGCTAGTAGCTCTGTTTTACTCATCATAGATGGCACAGTAGTGCTGGATTGCATTCTGAACGGCTGCTGCAGCCTTCATGTACTAAGTTCAGGTCCTGTACCTTAAAAACTAACAATGCCTCCTCAAATAAAGAAAATCCCCTTGCCATTTCCTGCATCATGAACCTCTTCAGTTCTTCATTTATTTCTTCCTCTTGTCTCCCTTCGTCCTTTCTCAGGGCCTCCAATTCCTGACGTTTCTTGCCAGTACCAGCTACATCACCACTGCTTTTATGCTTGCTTCCGAACATCTTGGACTTTATATAAAGATACTGTACTCTGTAAAGCACACAAAAGTACAACCACTTTAGAGGCTGCATGCATATGACAATGTACACCAGACACGTGAACTAACTTACATGATTGGATATGCAAATGTACGTTTGCATTTTTGAAAGTTTGCAACTTGAAGGGGACTTACTATATGTGGGGGGCTTCCTGTATTAGTAAAGAACAGGTGGTTTCTTGGAACCACACATCCCTCTTCTTCATTTGTAGCTGATGCTGACCTCAAAAATTTCTGGAACGAGAACCAAATCCATTTTTCCTGATCACAAAGGAAAACTCTTATATTTTAAATAGGATACAGCATATGCTTTGTATGGATACCAAGTATTAAAACCTGTCTTGCAAATTACAGCAGCTCCTCCAGCTAACATGGCTCATCTTGAGCTCCTCATCCACAAGAACTATGATTTTTATCATCCCAAGGGTTTTGAGCTTTCCAAGAAGACTACAATTTAAGGGAGACAACATACTAACGAACCAACATTGGTTTCCACTTTGCTTGGCAGTTATAGTCTTCGTAGTAAGTTAAAAACACAGCATCCTGGTTTAGGGGTCAGTCTCCCGTCACTTCCGTGGTGTGAATCAGCTCCCTTCCATGCTCAGCCAGCCTCAGTGTCCTGAAAACCCTGGGCTGCTGGCTCTGCAGAGTTGCAAACCAGACCCTGAACAGTGGTGGCCACAGAGAGGTACTGCTCCCTGGTTCTAAGGGTTTCCGTTTATTGTCCAAACCAGGACTCTTTTTGAGAGTGAAAGGGGGTGTTTTTAAAGAATATGTCACAGCAATGGGTATTAACGAGGGCCTTTTCAGATGCTCTATCTTGGGGTTTTGCCTCATAAGCTAGAATGCCCTCTTTCAACAATTCCTCCAGCTTGTTTCCTCTTAAATATGGATAAGGTGAAACAGGGAAGGATTATTGCCCTGTAGTCATAGATCTCCTACTTGTATCAAGAACCAGATTAAAAATCATGGGTTTTGGTGTGGGACTATAAATGACACAGAAGATTATTTTAAATGAGGTTTCTGGCATTGGATATTTAGTGCTACACATTCAATTTGTTTACCATTTGTAATGATGAATTTCTTATTTAATGTGAAACAGGCAGAGAGTTAAAACAATCTCAAGGTTGCTTTTACCTGTGTAGTCATGAATTTGCCAATTCGATCAGCACATACAAGTGATGATGATCAGCTTAACTGTGAGCAACTGAGTAACATGAAGTACACTCAAGACAGTTATGCCAAAACCAACTTCCTCACTTACAACAAGAGGTGTCAGTCATCCTAACACTTGTTTGATGCTAGATACTCCATGCATGACCTTCCTAAAACATAAGCTGTAATGTGAACCAAACGCTGTTAAGTTCAAGGAATCGCAACTAGAAAGCTGCCTCTTGGGGAAGTCTGCCCAACAGACATGCCTGTCTCAGGAGGGCTGGGGCTTATACACATATTACTCAAAGTCTCCCATTTTTACATATTTCTTGTGGTGGAGGCTGGCAGTTCAGTTCAGTCGCTCAGTCGTGTCCGACTCTTTGCGACCCCATGAACCGCAGCACACCAGGCCTCCCTGTCCATCACCAACTCCCAGAGTTTACTCAAACTCATATCCATCCAGTCGGAGATGCCATCCATCTCATCCTCTGTCGTCCCCTTCTCCTCCTGCCCTCAATCTTTCCCAGCATCAGGGTCTTTTCAAATGAGTCAGTTCTTCACATCAGGTGGCCAAAGTATTGGAGTTTCAGCTTCACCATCAGTCCTTCCAATGAACACCCAGGACTGATCTCCTTTAGGATGGACTGGGTGGATCTCCTTGCAGTCCAAGGGACTCTCAAGAGTCTTCTCCAACACCACAGTTCAAAAGCATCAATTCTTCAG